ACGAACAGGAAGATTATCTTTTAAGTAAATATTTTTGAATTTTTAAGCTCCCAATCAACATAGTGATTAATTTATTCCTATCAATTAATTTCATTGTTTGCTTTAAAGAGTATTAAATGCAGGCTAACAGGCAGAGAGTGAACAAGAGAGGCAGCACATGTACATGTGGTTAATGAACACAATGGCTAAGGGTAGAGACAGCTACTAGTAGTCTGGATACAGGATGCTACTTACTGGACAACTCTGCATTCTCAAAGAACCTAAAATACCCTTCCATCCCTTTCCTGAACAAACTGGCTCCCAAGGGGGGGAGGAAATTCTTAGCTTGATAAAAATTTTATCAAAAATCAGAACTGTCTTTTCGTCTTTACTCTGCATGCCCATATAGGGTAGGACTGAAGGAGTTTGAATGCTAAGGCAATGGAAAATGAACCAGCTCATCCACAATTAATTTTAACAGTGAACCCCATTACCTCAATTGATACTTAAAACTTATTACAGCTGTTATTTTATTATTTTTCTCTCACTCTCTTTTACCCTTTCTTTCTTAAGGGAAAAGAGCTACTAGAAAAGTAGAATAAAAAATAATGGCTAACAAAACCACAACACAAGGAAAAGAAGAACCATGCTGCAATTTGCCAATATAAATGTTCCTTCTCTTCAGGGATGGCTAACAAACTCAAGTGTTTCTAATGAACCACTGGCAAACTACCAAGTGCACAGTCTTACATCTCTCCAAACTCATAACCACCATTTATCTGTAACAGACACGTGAAAATGATAATCTTAAATGCTAGGTATGGAAAAGAACTTAGGCCATTTTCTTCGGTTTGATGAGGTCAGGATTATACCAGAAAACTAGAGTATTCTAGTGCTTTGCTGAAGAATTCCCTATAGAAATGTGCCAACTATCTTTTTTTAAATTAATTTTTTAAAATTTATATACGACAGCAGAATGTATTACAATTCATATTACACATATAGGGTATAATTTTCACTGGTTTTATATAAAGTATATTCACTGGTTGAATACAAAGTAAATTCACACCAGTGCCAAATGTCTTTTCCTCAGGGAAGCCTATTTCTTATTCTAGATCCAGAGTCTATACATATGCATTTATCAGGCTCTTTGCATGTTGCATTTTCTTCATATTTCTTCTACTTATCAATTTCTCTACTTATACTGAGCAAGTTCTTTTGCTTTTGATAATTAAATAATTCAAATGAAATAACTTAAACCTTTAAAAATACAATGAGTCCTACATTGACTATAGAGTGAAGAATCTGTTGTTGCCAATAGCCACAGGAAGGATGTTGCCTTTCTCCTCTTAAACTCTACTTAAATAATTTTGTTTTCATATAAATCATCAGTAGGAAAAAACTTACAGTAAAAGCATAGTTATAAGTGCTTTCTGTTCTTAATTCTTTATATTACTAATTTATTGTTTAATTTATAAGAAAACTTTTATGAAGTAGGAACTATTATTGCTGTTTTAAAATGAAGACTAATGCTTGCAGACAGGTTAAATAGCTTGCTGAGGCCATGGAGCTAATAAGTGGCAGAGACAGAACTCAGATTCAGGTTCTTTTATTGTAGGAAGTATGCTTTCTCTTTCCACTCCCTACCCCAGAATTGGGAATTACACTGGGGTGTTCTACCACTGGGCTACATCCCCACCCCTTTTTAATTTTGAGATAGGGTCTCACTAAATTGCTGAAGCTGGCTTTGAACCTGTGGTCCTCCTGCCTCAGTTTCCTTAAGTTGCTGGGATTATAGGCATGTACTACCACATCTGGCTTGGAACTCTGCTTTTCTTAGTATCAAAAGTACTCAGAGACATACAATCATGCTATCTACAGGGTAAAAACCTCCTTACAAACTGACAGAACATATTCTGAACAAATTTTTGGAAACTGAGGCACCTTTAGCCCAGGCCAGATGATTAGAATTTGCTCAAAATACAGACAGCGGGATTTCGGAACATAGAAGAGGAAAGACTATTTCCTCAGTCAGCTACACAGTGAAAAGAAACTGAAAATTTACTGTATTTCGAACCCATGATACGTCATTTATGGTGCTTTTAGTATAATTACACTTAGATTTAACTGTGGAGTTTTTAGTAGAAGCTCTATGAATCATTACTTTATATTGAAAGCTAAACTTTAAAAATATATTTTTTTCAAAAGAGTATAGGAATTTTTCAAATTACTGTTCTATATGGAAAGAAGAGAATAAATGTTGCTCCCTACCCCCTAGTAGAACCACATGTCTATAAAGCAGTACAAATAGAAACTGGGTAAGAGCTAACACTTTCTCAACAAATTAATTAGGCCTAAAGTACTGATGTAATTTATTAGATGGAAGTTAGTGCACAAACATCTTAATAAAATTTGAAAGTAAAAGGCAACAAGGTAAAATTAAAATCTTTTAAAAACTTAAAAAAATGTTACAATCTGTGTGACACAAAACTTGTGAAAAAATCTGCCTAAGAACATCAAGATGCCACATAAAGGCATCTTGAGCAACTGAAGAAGGTGAGTTAAGAAAATAGTCAGTCCTCCGATCCAGGTTTTAACACTGTATTTCTAGAACTTTTATTTAATGTTTATTTTTAAAAATTTTTATATTGTTTATCATTCCTCTATGTCCTTCCATTATCCCATGGCTTATTGTATGAGTATAACATACAACATAATACCAATAACATTCTGCCAAACATAGTATTTATTTTCTAGAAATAAAACCTCGGATAGCAAGAAATAAAGTTTGGTACTGTGATAGAAAAATAAATCACATACAATTCTCTTTTTACTCAAGCATTCTTAAAATTCTTTCATATCACCTCAAAGTTCTAATGATAAAGGGAAATATACCTCTACCTGTATAAAAGTAGCTATTTAAACTGAGGGTAAAAGACCTGACAAGCCATATGTTGGTGCTTAGAGAAAACAGAACAAAATTCCTATATTGCTGCTTTTAATAAGGCCTGTTTCTCCATAGGAATATCACAAATGATACCGTGTTTTCCCCAACATTATCTCCATCCTGACTCCATTTTCTTAAAAGCATAGAGATCTGATTCAATTTTTTTTCTCACCTCTGTTTCTTAAGATGTTCTAGAATGGTTCCCAGACATATTCACATCTAATGATTTCACTCTCTACTGCCAAATAATTATCTCTATTACTTCACCTCCAAAATGTTAAGCTTTGAATTTTGCCTACAGTGACAAAACTGTTATCTAAAACCTCTTTCACTAACTTGTTCCTAACAAATATACTTGTAATAATTTTTCTCACAGTGATACTCAGAACCATAATCTCTATTGTCCTAGGACATCTGTCTATTTCTGGCTTCACTTACTCATTTCTTCCAAAAGCATATCATCTGTAACACTCTTCTCTCAACCTTGCACTGTGCCATTCCAACCTGAAATCACAGGTAACAGCTTAACATTCACTTCCTCAACCTTTGAGTTGCTATCACTGTATCACAGTAGTCATGTCCCATGAAAACTCAAAGTTATTTACTATGGCAAGATCCTCGTCTATTATATAGGTGTTCAAATTTTATTGATAGTTCAAAGTAGCAGAAAAGAAGAAGTGATAACAGATTAAATGAGTCAGGTTGAAAAACATGTATTTATTTTAGCCAGAGAGGAAGAAATAAAAAACAAAGAAGGAAATAAAAGAATGTGAACACAGGTGCGGGGGTTGTGGCTCAGAGATGTATTGCTCGCCTAGCATTCATGAGGCACTGGGTTTGATCCTTGGCACCACATAAAAATAAAATAAAGATACGGTGTCCATCTATAACTAAAAAATAAACATTAAAAAAATAAAGTGAACATAAATGTGAGAGAATACAAATAAAGGAATATTGCAGAGGAGGAACCAGTGCTTAAAATTTCTTACAAAGATAAGCAGCCGGCCTTATAAAGGAAAAAGAACACCTCCTCAAAGACAGACAACAACAAAAACACAGACAACTGGTAACTAAGAGATCTCATGTTAGATTTGGTTTTATTAAAATGGGAATAGGTCTTTAGGTAAGGATGGTAAATGGTTATCAATGGTAAATGGTATTTATTGGATTATTATTGGACATTTAATAGAGATATGTGTTCTAAACAGAAGGTCACGGAGGAGAAAAAGAAGCATCTATTATGTAGTAGAAGATGTATATATACTTCACAACAATGACAGTCTCAGGAATCCACAGATGTGGAGCAAATAGGAAAATGAGGTACAGCAAACTTTTGCTAAAAGTGACCATTTTGTAAAATACTGGCTTCCAGTGTAGCAAAATGTTAACTGATGAATCTGAAGGACAGGTAAACGGAGGTTCATTAGACTACTCTATTTTTTCTATACCTTTCAAAATGTTTATAGTAAGTATTAAAAAAAATTGCCAAGTACTGTTTTTTTTAGAGAGAGAGAGAGACAGAGAGAGAGAGAATTTTTTAATATTTATTTTTTAGTTTTTGGCGGACACAACATCTTTGTTTTATGTGGTGCTGAGGATCGAACCCGGGCCACACGCATGCCAGGCTTGAGCCACATCCTCAGCCCCCAAGTACTGGTATTGACTGTGGTGGCAGAGTGCTTGCCTAGCATACACAAGGGCCTGCTTTAGAATCCATGAAAAAAAGAAAATTCTAGTAGTAGTCATATGATCTCAGAACCAACAACCCTCTTCCCTAATTATCTGACCAATTTACATAAACTTTCCCATGATTTTAGGAATTTCAGAGAGGTAATTAGATGCCAAAACATATACATGAGAACACTCTAAAATTCACTGAAAAAGTGCCTCAAAATAATTCTGTTTGAAAAGGATTTGCGCCACATGTCACCAAATTTGTTATACAGTGAGAATGCAAGCTAGCATAATGATTAGGCTAAGTGTACGGGTAATAAAGATATAATATGAAAGTCAGAAAGAAAAGCATTTCTACTAAGCATGTGCTTAATTAAAGAACAAGGTTATAAACACTTACTTCATCTCTAGAACTTCCTCTAAGTGTTTCCTTCTCTCTGCCCGAAGATTGGTCAAATGAGTTTCCTTTTCTGCCAGAGACTGCTGAGTGGAAGACAGCTTTGCTTTCATGGACTCTAGTTCCTGCTTTACTTTCTCCATGGCCATCAATAGCTCCTCCACCTATGACAAAAATGGAAAGGAGAAAAAGAGAACATTTTGATCATTTAAGAGTCAGCAAAGCTGCACCATAGGCAACTACTGGGCCCATAAAATTGAGGGTACACAAGAATACACAAAAGTTTCTCTACTCTTTCTGGATCAGACCTACATATCAAGATATAGTCAATAATGACTTCCTGATTCTATAATTCTTTTTAATTTAGATCAGAAATAACTTATTTTTTCTGGTATGTACATATATAATTTTCTTTTTGAAAGTGCATATGTAAGTCATAGTTCAAGAAATCACACTTTGGGCTGGGGTTGTGGCTCTGTGGCAGAGCACTTGCCTTGTCCATATGAGGCACTGGATTCAATCTTCAGCACCATATAAAAATAAATAAAAAATATAAAGATATTATGTTCTTGTATAACTAAAAAAATGCTAAAAATAGAAGCAACACTTTACTATAGAAAATCCCTATATGAATGTTGTTTGAAAATGATCCAGAAATTTCCATGGAAATAAAACACAAAAATACAAAGAAAAAAATCATAATAAATATTGATAGGAGAATTTTAGGAAATAAAGGACATAAACTTAAAAAGATTCAGCATACACATAGTTATAAATATACATATAGTATATGTATATATATAAAAAACTATATATATATATATATAGATTTTATACACCTAAAGTATTTTTATTGTTTACACAATTAAGAATTTTTTTAAAATAGCAGCCTATTGTCCCCCAGCACTATTTAAAAAAAAAAAGTCATAATTCAACCAAACAGCTACTTACTGTAATGCCAGGCAAATAGACTTTTTTTTTTTTTTTTTTTTTAAAGAAAGACTGAGGGGACTGAGGAGACCAGTATCTGTCTGGTTGATACTGTTCTATCAACCAGATGGATAGGACATCGAATGCTTTAAATACACTGGGGTAGGAGGTGGAGGAACCTTGATAGAAACAGACCTGAAAAACAAATAAAAACCACCCAGGGTGTGCATGAAGGGTGGAGGAGGGGATGCTAAATCATATGGAAAAGAAACTCAGAGAACAAGATATGTACTTTTCTACTTACTCTGGGTGTTTACCTAATCAGAATTATTTAAATAAATAAGGTCATTTTAATTCAGAAGTAAAAATAATGCTGATGAAAACGTGTTATCACCAAAAAATAACCTCAACCAGGTAAGAAAATAGCCAACTGCATGGGTACTGCTTTTCAAGAAATAATCTTGGTGACAACAGATCTTTTCAGAGGTTGTGATAGGGATAGGTAGAGCATTTATCATTGCTTGACTCTTACATAAACTAATTGGTGTGATACTGAAACTAAGCGCTGTCTGGAGAAAAAACTGCAGTAAAATACACCAGAGTTGTTCACTGACCCCTAGAAATTAATGTCTGGTAACTAATCACATCTTGCTGTAGACTGGAATCAGCTGCTAAATACTCATAGAAGCAGATATATTTTGTTTTTTGGCACATGCATTATTTTACAGAAGTAATCAAGTTGATGTCCTCAGCTAATGGGATCCTCATAGTCCAAGTTACCATGAGAATATACTGTCATGCAGATTTCCTTGGGTATGTATTAACATCTGCAAGTTTTATATGAATATATATCTCCCTCTGCCTTGTAAGAACTACTGAAAAGATTGATTCAATTTTATCAGTTTAACTCATGTAAAATCTTATCTAAAATTGTGTACAAATGTTAAGTTCTTATGATAACACAAAATGAATAGTAGATAAGCACCATTTGTGTCCCTCTTTTATGGATTTACCTAAACAGATCTCAAAAAGTCTCCCTTCCACTCTATCCTTCACCATTTCAGGCAACCAGTGATATTAGCTTCTTAATAACTTGGAGAAATATTTTGCATGTACACAAGCAGGCATACATAATGTTGATTCCTCCTTTTCCTACCCAAAAGGATGACAATTCTATACACACTCACAAGCATCTAAGCTTTTTTGTTCAATCTTTATTTTAGTACAACATAAATACAGAAAAAATACTCAGACAATAAATGTACTCATTTAAGAATTTTCTGAGTGAATCCACCTTTGTAATCAGCACATAGATCCATAAACAGAATACTATCAGTACTATAGAAACCACCCTTATATCACCTTTCCAGATAAGGGTATTCACTATTCTGTTTTTCCACACTCTAGTCTAGTTTGCATTTTTGCTTTAATTTTGTACAAATAGAATTGTAAAAGCATATCATTTTTCAGATTTTTCTCAGTGTTAAATCTGTGAGATTCATCCACATTTTTAGGTATAAATACAGTTCTGAAATTCTCATGATTCTACGCTATTACACTATGTGAAAATACCATAATTTATTTAAGAGAGTTGGATAAAGAGAATTTTTTTTACTTTTCATTGAGTTTAATTAATTTTTCTTTATATTTTTTCTATGTTAAGAGAACTTTGTACACTGAATAATATTTTTACTACTTTAGGGTTATAAGGATACACACACACACAAAAAAAAACCCACTTGATTTCTGTATATATTGTAATGGTCAAAATTCATTTTTTTAAACTAGATACTTGACTGACAACTATAAACAGCACAAATTTCAAAAATCATGATTAGAAATAAATTTCCACCTATTCTGAAAAATATCAGAAATTAAAGACTACTTATGATATATAGGAAAAATGTTTCAACAACACTTCATATTGTAAACAACAAATTTTAAATTTCATAAATGAGCAATTTATGAATGCATTTAAAAAGTCTTCCATATATATATGTTTCAGGATTAAGAACAAAACACACATCTACATACAGGAGTCCTCCCTTATTGATGATTCTGCCCGTGGCAGTTTTCAGTCACCCAAAGTCCGGAAATAAACGATTCGTAAGTTTTAAATTGTGCACTGTACTGAGTAACGTAATAAAATCTCACACTGTCCTCCTCTATCCTTCCTGGAATGTGAATTCTTTCTTGTTCTGTGGTTCCAACCTGCCTATCAATAATTTAGTAATTATATCAGTTATCAGATGCAGTGCCTTGGACTTTTAGGGTTTGTATTCAAGTAATCCTTATTTTATTTAATAATGCCCTGAAGTATTAAGTCGCAATTCAAATATGCCAAAAAGAAGTAAAGTGCTTCCTTTAAACAAAAGGAGAAAAGTATAATAAGACATTTTGAAAGAAAGTATATGTCCATTCACATAATTATTATTATACATTGTTGGAATTACTCTATTTTTAGTTCTTGTTGCTAATTGTGTCAATTCTTAAATTTTATCATAGGTATACATGCACATGTGTAACAATATATTGCATATAGAATTCAGTATTATTTGTGGTTTTAAGCATCCATGGAAGGGGCAGGTCTTAGAAAGTATCTCCCACATATAAGGGAGAACCACTATAATCACTACCCAGGAGCATTGAAAGTACAGTTATCCAACTGTATGTACTCCACTAAATCTCCTGAGAAAGGTAATTTATGTTACTTTTTCCCTTATGTGTCTCTTTTTAACCTCATGTATGTATTTTATATGTACAATCTCCAAATAAAACACTACTCATTTTTATCAGTTTATGAATTTGTATAAATAAAATCTTTCTTACTTCATCCAAAATTGTTTTTCATGAATATTTAAAAAAAACCCTACCATATGTGTGTATTCTACAACCAAGAGCAAAACAGCCCCATGTACTCACCACCCAGAAGTGAGAAGCAATGACAACCCAGCAATACTGACCGCTGTGGCAGTCAGATTATGGTTTACCACTAAATTGAACAGGCTCCTTAGAAAAATGGTTGAGTCCAGATTTGGGGCTAGAAACATACAAATCATCTTTGCACATCTTGTGCTATAAAAAAACAGGGATCAAGGTAAAAGGACACCAAAATTGGTGCCAAAACCAGCTTAAGATATCATGTTGGAGGGGGTGTGAGTGACTACAGAAATAAGTGAAAAGAGCAATTCACATCCTCTATGAACATAGATACAAAAATGCTCATTGAAATACTCAGAAACCCAAACATGAACACAGTATCATGTAAAAATTGGGACTTACCCAAAGAATGGAAGTTGGTTTAAAATCATATTGAAGAATACAGTATAAAAACCATATTGTTATTTCAATAAATGTACAAAAAGCATTTACCAATTCCTAACATCCTTTTTATGATAAAACACTTTAAAAACTAGGAATAGAAAAAACTCCCTAAAATGATGGACCAAGAACAAAATCAGACTATTTTCTCTCGCTACTTCTATTTAACATTGTATTAGAGATAGAAAAATTAAGCCTTGCAAAAAGAATAAAAATTATCCTAGGCTGGGGCTGTAGCACAGTGGTAGAGTGCTTGCCTAGCATGTGTAAGACACTGGGTTCAATCCTCAGCACCACATAAAAATAAATAAAGGTCCGTCAACAACTAAAACAAGATTAAAAAAAAAAAAGTTATCCATACTGCAAGGAAATCATAAAACTTCCTCTAGTTGAAGATGACATGCTGTTGTGTAGAGAAAAATCCTAAGGAATCTACTAAGAATCATTTATAATCAATGAATAGAGGAACATTGTTGGATACAAGACAAGACAGACAAAAAATCAACTGTATGACCATACAGAACAATACAAATAAAATTTTAAAAAATTCCATTTAAAATGGCATAGTGAACTGTGTAGGTATAAATTAAAAACAAAAGAAATGTAAAACATGTATACAAAAAGTTATAAAACATTCTTGAAAGAAATTAAAGATGACATATAAATGGAAAGACACTCAAGTTCCTGGATAAAAAGGCTTAATTTTGTTAAGATGGCAATACTCTGCAAATTGCTACAAGTTCAAAATGATTCGTATAAAAACCTTAGCTGTGTTTGTTTGTTTGCAGAAATTGGCAAGATGATTCTCGAGTTCACATGGAAATAAAAGAAATTCAGAAACAGACAAAATTATCTTGGAAAAAAATATTGCAGGACTCACACTTCTTTTTTTTTAATTTGTTTTACTGAGTTA